TCTTCGTGCTTATACTAATCAAATTAATTCAATGAGATTCAATAATTCAAACCGAACCAGAAACCAGTGCTCAAACTTCAATAACCAATAACTGTCATTCAACAAAAAGCTGTCAAAGTTGAAATATATCTAATTCCTCTGAATAAATAATCCGAGCGAAACAATTTTAATTTTTTTCCTGGCTGTCAAATTACAGAACGCTCCAAAGTAAATTGTGCCTTGCTCCAAATGACATCGAAAACGGCTCCGGAGGTAAACAAGCAAATAAATGTAATTGCAGAACATCTCATATGATGCTGTTGTCCCAATGCAAGGTGTGCAACTTAATAAATCTGAACATTCAAAAACACTAAAAGTTACCATCCAGTGACTCTAACTACACGTTGTCCCATTACCCGTTTTCCCATAGGAATGAAGCCTCTTCCCGCGATAAAAAGTATCCTATGTTCATCGGGGGTAATATCGGCTTCTAATGGTAAAATAATTTTTCAAATCTGTCCAGTAGTTTCGAAGCATTTTCAATACAAACAATCAAATCTTTCATCTTTATAATATTAGCATAGATACCTAGATATGCAACCTATTATTTCATACCTTCTCTCAACAATCGTTCAGAAATGTATTAAACTCTGTTAGTTTTGGCTGTCCATAAATTGAGAAATAAGGAAGATAATTTTATTGCGCGGGTTATTTTATTTATCTTCCAAAGGTCATTCCACTGTTGAGGAAATATATAGGATGTTCAATTCAAAGTTTGTAAACTTTCTGCTGCTCCCTGAATATCATTTCACATAAGAAAAAATGTGTATCTGTTGATTCAAGGAGTAAAAAAATTCACTCGTGAGACTGTTTTTTTTTTCCATTGTCAAAAATAAAATTATGGGGGCAGTACTTCATAAAGTGTCACCCGGTACAAGGTGGCGCAAATCGACATTGAATATTTTGACAAGATACTTTTTCCAAACGGCGACGATTTTGTGAACAATGGATCAAACTATCAATGCTGTCCGAAATTCCTTAGATTTGCAGCCTTTTTCACGATGTTACGGTGAAAAGTGTTCCAGTTTTGTTAACTTCGACACCCCGTAACTTTTTTAGAATCGAGTGTGAAGTGTATTCTTGTATATTTCAGAACCAGAACGAAGGAAAGAAGGTCATGTCAACATATTCAATGTTAAATATGAACCACCATGTATACATAAAATTGTTGCAAATGAAAAAAAAAACTCTGCTTCCAATAATCGTGATAATCGTTATACAGGGTTAGTGTGTTTTCGTTGTTACTGTTATCCTGTACACACCATGTTTGAAAAATGATTCATAGGTCATTAAAAAAATAGAAATAAATCTAGATAACTATTCAATCAATACAATAATAAGAGGCTGAAACACGATTCATTATTTTCAACAATTATACAAGAGATTTTTTTCCACTCTTTAGTATGAATCGTTTTGAGTCGGTATATTTTTCGGACAGCCACAATCGAAAAACCTAACCCTGTTCATTTGAAACCAATTAAATTGGAATTCAACACAAGGTTAAATAAACTTCATTTTCTGGAATGAACAGAATGAATCAAAATAATGAATTGTATTTTTAATTTTTTCTCATTGGATAACATGTTTCCAATCATCTGAATAAGTTTGCTTTATTTTTCGGTTTCATGTCTATTGAAAGGAAGACTATTGTTAGTTTTTCAAAATTAATAATTTATTACTCAATCATTCTGTAATATTCATTGAAACATCACTAATTGAGGTCTATTAGTAAAAATTAATACTTATTGGTTCCACCAGTAAAAGTTTATGATTTGACATATGTGTCATGAATCTGCATAAAACATGTTTTTTTCGTGAAAAAAACCTTGATTTGGAACATTTTATCCTCAAAATGAATATTTAATTTTCTTCACTTTCAAAGACAAAAGATGAAACCTAAAAAATAAATCAAAATACAGAATTTTGGATAATACAAAAGCAACTTTTCAAAGTACTCGGAATAAAAAAATATTTGTAACTTGGCTTACTATTGGTAAAAGTAAATAAAATTTGGATGATCAAATAAATTACCTGAAGTACGTTTATCATTTGAATTGAATACTGAATTGCAAGGGAAGAAAAAATTCAATTTTCAAATCATAAAAATTACAAGTGAAATTAAAACCTTTTCGATTTCACCCTGAACCATTCCAGAATTATATTCATTAAATTTCATGTTATTCTGCATTTAGAATTTTCAGGTCAGCACAAAAACAAGTGATAGAAATTTGATTGTTTTCTCTTAAAAAAAAATATGGGAAAATAGGAAGCAAGGTTTGAGAAAAATCAATTGCACAAAGAAAAATACGAAGACCCACTGTAAAAAAATATATGAACGTTCGAATACCAAACATATTGTTAGTTCCAAAAGCAATCACTTGTATGTCCAAACCACAGGACTCAGAAGATACAATACCATTCAAAAAGTTAATAACAAATAGGATAATCACATGGAGAATTCCATTTCAGGTTGTTTTTTAAATGACACTCTGTTTTTTTTTTGGAATGTATCAAACATATTGACCTGATAATGGAATTATTTATTTTAAAAAATCAATACTACGATGGCTATACCCTCATGGTTGTATTGCATTTGCTCACATGAAAGTACAATTGGTTCAGAAGTAACAATCTAAAATTGAATAAAAATAAAACAAAACATATTATCTACAAACAACTCAAGAGCATTATTTGGTGAAACTGTCAAACTGTTGAATATCTCAAAATACTTATGTCTACTCCGCAAACTGAAGACTATCATTAGTTTGCAAGCTGTATTATCAGCGTATTATGCTTTCTTCCACTCAAGAATTTCATATGGTATAATACTTTGAGGAAATAGCGTTAATGCTAAAGACGTTTTCTTGTTACAAAAAAGGCATTAAGAATAATATGTGGGTCAGGGTTTACCGATTCCTGTACTGCTACTACTCAGTATTATGACGTTACTGTCCATTTATATCTATCAATCCATTTAAGAGATACATAATAACAAAAATAATCACGAAAAGAATGCTGATTTCCATACTTACAACACTGGAGGCTGTCATTTGATAAGATCATCTAAATTCAGATTACATACTACCCACTTACGTCAAAGCATTGAGTTTCAAGAGTTTCAAAAAACCCATGCATTCATATTTGACATCCAATGTATTTTATACTTTCTCATGTATTATTTTTTATCTATTATTTTTTTCAAACATTACTTTTCATACAGTATTTATCATGCATAGCCTGTATATCATATGTATGTACTGACACAGACTTTTCTTTAGGTTTTTAATTTTTACTTCACCTATAAATTTCTAGTTTTAACCACTTGGTTTTTATAATATTCATAACCTATATGTATATGTGATCTAATTTGTATTCTTATGGATGCATCTAAAAGACAAATACATTATCTATTTATATAACGGTTAACTGTGAATTAGGCAAATATACACAATAGTGATTATTTCATCTATAACAAGCGCGGGGGGATCACAGCAAAGGAAATTCCAGTAATTTAGGAGAATTTCAGTAAACAGTAGGAAATGATAGATAAATAGAAGTAATTGAGCGATTTCCTCCAATGAATTTCTAGTACAGGGTGTCCCATTTAAATATTTAAATGTGTCACCCCATATATCCAAATAGGGTGGCTCAGAAAAAAAGTTTTTCTGAATTCAAAAATATACATCATTAATACATATATCAAAATGGATAAAATTTGGATCATTTAATTTCAAAAAACTTTTATTTTATTCATTTCCAGAGAAATTTATCATAAATTTGGGTAAAAATGTAGGATAGATCCTAAAATTTCAAGAAATTTAAGTAAATTACAGGGAATTTTGTAGAATTTCTGAGGAACCTCTCGTACACAGTGAGAAATGACGGGAAAGTGTCGGGAAATTTTCGGAGGACTTTTCGTCCACTTATTGCAAAATGAAGGAATTTCGTGGGATTTTGAAGAATTTCTAGAACTAAGTGGGTAATAATACGGAAATTATTGAAAAATTTTTCAAAATTTGGGGAATTTCGAGGAGAGTTCAGAGGGATTTCTGGTGCATTTGGTGAAAAATAACGTGGATAGGAAGTCATTTTGGTGGATTTTGAAGTAACTTTATGAATTCCATGAAATTTTGAGCAAAGGAATCGTATACCCACCCAGTGGAAAATGAAGGGAAAATGAAGACATTTTAGGTGAATTCAATGAACTTTGGAAAATTCCGGGAATTTCAGGGAATTTTGGGAAATATTTTATATACTTATTAGGCTTTTAGTCAATTCAAGGAAATGAAATGGCATTGCAAATATATTGATAATGACAGTTTATTAAAATTTTGTGAAATCGCCGATTTGATTTTCTGTTGAAAACATTTTCTCATTCGAAATATTGCCGACTTCAATGATTAAGAGAAAAATACAATGCACTCAGGATAACAGTTTGTGATAGTGAGTTAGAATAGGTTAATACTTTCAAATTAAAACATACTTTTACAACTCTAGGTATTATTGAAAACTGTACCCCTATTCATTATTTATGAAGTTGTCAACTGTCAGATTCATATTGTCTTGGCATGGATGCATAGAACATGTGATGTAAAATACAAATTCACAAAAAATATTCACCAGACCAATATTATCCTATTTGTTATTATAGTACTGTATCTTCTGAGTCAATTGGTTTATAACCTACATCAGGTAGAATTCTTGAAGGTTATTTTTTTCCTGAATAGATCAAATATGTAAGAAAAATAATCTGCCAAATATTTGTTTTTTTTTCCTAGAAAATCATACTAAACATTTTGAATCATCTAGTACCATAGTAGTTTAGGATTTCAGAGGAACCTAAATCTGAAAGAGGTTAATATTATTTATAATACATGGCATTAAACAAAACTGAAGCCACATTTTTGGTTTCTACAGAATGTTGAAAATTTTATTAAAACAACAATATCCATTGTACTGACCTGGAATAACGACCCCTTCTTCCACCACCCCCGCCACCACCTCTTCTGGCACGGCCACTAGACATTTCCACTCTAACTCTAGAGCCACAGCATCGGCTAAAAATGAAGGAAAAACTCATGAAAAATGTTTTTCATTCATATTAACATCACGATATTATTGAACTTGAACATTTATTCCACAAAGCAATTAAATTTTTCAGAAACAGACACATACATTGCAACCTACAATGAGATAATCTTGTACTTCTTATTTTAACGAGTTTTTTTTTTTTCAAAATTTTAGTGTCACTCATTTTTGTCTGTAAAACAGGAATTAGGTAATGAAAATGGGAAAATATGAACAAACCACTATTTATTCAGATATTACACAAAAAAGAGTTCAAAATATCCCCTTTGGCTCCTCTTGGATATGCATTTACAACTCTTTTTCCTTATTTATCATCATTGGACAATTTTTATACTTACACAATATGTATTTCAATGACACATTTTATATACAAAAATCAACTAAAAATTTAATGTTTCTGTGATTTTTCCATACATCATTCAAAAATATTTATCCTAAATTTGTGTTCCTGCTCATCTGATGATAGTTGAGCTTTATTTCACAACAACTCCTATCTATTGTAGCATTATAGCTTATGTCTTTGATAATTGAAAAAACTGATCAGGTGGTATGGTTGTTGATCACTGAATATAATATATTCAATATAATGAAGAACTGGCAAAAACAAATATTTTGTAAGGATTTGTGGACTGACAATGAACTGATAGAACCTGAGTTATACACTTTTTGGGATATATAAAATACACTTTTGAATACACAATTTTTGTAACTGATCTGCAGCTGACTGATCCATTGTCAAGAACATAATTGTATCACAGTGTCAGAACTGTCACAGGCTATGATATGACTAAAGCCTCCTTGTCTGGAATATAAAATGTGTTTTAGGTACATCATGAGTAAATTAAATGACCAATGACAAAATAAGAGGGGCAAGTAGCTGTGAATGCCTATCCAAGACAGGTGGGACAAGAAGGAGAAATTTAGTTTGGTATTTACAGATTTTCATCTAAAAGTCATGAATTTAACAATGAAAATGTGAACAAACCACTATTTAACCAGATATTTTACAAAAGAGTTTGAAATTTTACCTTCTTTTGCAACCCATCTTGAAAATATTCCATATAAATCATACTTCTTGTTGATTTTAGGCAATTAAATGTGTGATTGAAGTACAATGTGAGTATATTAAGTGTCCAGTGATGGAAAAAGAAGGTGGTGGTAAAAAGTGAAATATTAAACTTTTTCCTGAAATATCTTGATAAATAGAGGTTTGTTCACATTTTTATTATGAAATTAACGTTTTTCAGACAAAAATACATGAGTGAGCTAAAAAAAATTTCAAAGGTTCCAAAAACTGAGGACTGAGAGTATTCAATCATCTCCCCCCGTGAGGTCAAAAATAATGTGAGCTTGAATAGTTTTGAAATATAGGTTAAAATATTTCCTCATTGAAAAATGTCCCTATACATTAGAGGAGTATTTTGCTCCACATGTACAGGGTTAATGTTTTCATTTTATTCATGTTAGTTCATCTCAATTCTCAACCACTTATAATTTTTGTATCTTACTCTTTATTGTATATCTTTGTGTATTGCTCCTTTATATTATGTTCTACAATATTTTATCACTTCCTATATTTATTAGTGCCTCTGTCAGGTATATTTGACTATTTTTTGACTATTCCTATACATGTATATCATGTCCATTGGAAAATAAAAATTATTATTATTATTATGTCAAATGTCAATAGATTGCTTTGGAATGACATTACACATGCCATTATTTCAAATGATAATATTCCTTCTTTTCACTAAATATGGATAAATCTCAAGAAAATCAAATTTATAGTTGAATTATATAATAGAAAAAAATGTGTCATACATTGTTACATATAAATTGTCCAATATGATGAAAGAAGAAGGGATACTTGTTCTAAATGCCATCCAGAAGACAGGCGAAAAAGAAGGTGAAATTTGTAACTTTAGTCAAATATCTTAATGATTTGTTCACATTTATCAAATTCCTGTTTTAAAAATAATTAAGTACCAAAAAAAACTTTTCTGAAAAAAAAAACCCATGGCATGATAAATGCAGTTTTACCATTTTAATGAGAAATTCGTGTTTTTCAGATGACAATACATGTTACAAAAAAATATTGAAAAAAAAAACAACACATGATAAGTACAAAATTACCTACATTAACCTCAAATAATGAGTTAATTCTGTAAAGGGACTGGCTACTGCACGGTCTGACCATTCACTAATTTAGCGTTCGGGGCCGGTCCGACCGTACAGTAACATTTTGTTCGGAGCCGGTCCGAATACTTCGACACTCGTCTTGGCCAGGCAGCATAAATTGACAGAATTGAAAAATTGAATTTTTTTTTAACAATCAATCGACCTAGATGAACCTTTTTTCTTGAAGAAGGAGAATTTTTCTTGAGGAAGGAAACTATTGTTTCTGCATAAAAAATGAGAAGGCGGTACATATACTAAAAATTGGAACGATACAGAGAAGATTAGCATGGCCCCTGCGCAAGGATGACACGCAAAATCGTAAAGCGTTCCACATTTTTAGTATATGTACTCGCTTCGGCGGTACATATACTATTTATGAGTATATCTGTACTTGTATTAACACCAAATAAAATATTCTATTCTATTCTAACCTAACCTAACCGAACCTCACCTCTGGCCTAAACATAGAAAACCCCTAAATAAACCTATTTCCCATAGAGAATATTTTTTAGAAATCACTTGAGAACAAGAAAAAAATAAAAAAAAGATGAACCTCGCACGGATTCGAACCCCGGCCCACCGGCTTGGCATGCCGATGCTCTGCTTACTGAGCCAACCAGTTGCTTACGAGAGGAAGTATGAACAATATATTATTATTGTACGGTCGGACCGGCCCCGAACAAAATGTTATTGTACGGTCGGACCGGCCCCCAACAAAATGTTATTGTACGGTCGGACCGGCCCCGAACAAAATGTTATTGTACGGTCGGACCGGCCCCGAACGCTAAATTAGTGAACGGTCGGACCGTGCAGTAGCCAGTATCTTCTGTAAATGAGTTGCATAATGTGATACTAATACTCATATTTTATAATGAATGTTGCATGATTCCCACCTCAAAGTTCAATAGGATTTTATAAACTTGACACAACAATACAAAAAATCTACCACCTGTAGAGCTCAAAAAACACTTACGTTCCATCTAAGCCTCTAACCGCGTCTTCAGCATCCCGCGGGTCTTCGTACTCTACGAAAGCGAAGCCCGGGGGATTCCTCGCCACCCACACGTTCCGCAGGGGCCCGTATTTGCCGAAAGCGCTCTCGATTTCGTGCTTGCTGGCAGAGGAGCCCAAGTTGCCCACGTACACTTTGCACGAGAGGTCCCACTCACGGTAACGGGACATGTTTCTTTTAAAAGATATGAAATTTTAAAAGGCTTGTTGGATTCAAAAACTCATCTAGACTTTACAATTCAAAGAATCTTTGGAAGCTGATTAATGATTCTAATTATTCAACAATTAATTCAATTGTTAATTCAGTTTAGTTCAGTATGTAAAATCTTTAAAATCCATCTTTACGACTATTTATACACCACCGCTTGAGCACACCCAAAATAAGCTATGGACTTTCGGTTATGTGTATTGCATGCATTTACCTGTTCCTGGATATTTTTGACCGTATGAAACTACACTGATACACTCGAGAGTACGCTCAATCAGCGCTGATAAAGGAAATATACACCTAAAGTAGAGAATTAAAACGATAACACTTTTCGAATCTTCCAAAAAGAACAAATTCTATAATCAAAATGGCGATGGTGGCAAGGTTGCCAGGTTCAGGTTACAGGTTGCCAATGTTGCCATTGCCACCATTGCCACTTCTGAATTTAATAAGAGGATCGCGGCAGGAATATTCGGGGGCTGTCGCCGGCGAGAGGGGAGATCCCACTCGCGGTAACGGGTCCGGGATATGTTTCTCCTAAAACAAAGGAGCACACTTGAGGATACTCAGATTATTCAACAAATCAGCTTCTAGAATTCTCAATGTAATTGTAAGTTTTTAGTTGAGCTGAGTTTTCAAATCCACCATTCTACTAACCTTGCACCATTACGACTCTTTACCAATGAACTCAATACTCGGGTGCGCTGATATAATGGATGTCACACTGATGCACTGTGAAGAGAATGCTCTTTCAGCGCTGATGAAAGACCACAAATATACGATAACAAAGATTTCAGCTTCCGTATCATTCATAGGAAGAATCAATAGTATATTACATAACAAGAGTTGTAAAACGCATATTACGCACGAAGTGGAGAGAGTTACACACGATGCCGCATAGCGGCGAGTGTGTAACTCCACAAGTGCGTAATTGCTTTACAACTCGAGAATTGTACTATACTTTTTCTACGACCACACTATATTTTCTTCCGGATAGTGCAGATATTGCATTAAGGCACAAATGACGAATACCTATATATACACGTCTCCCGTGACTAACCCAGCTGCATGAAGAGTGACAAATCAAAATTCTTGGATTTGTTTATTGATACAATGCATACCGAGACATTTTCCTCAATTCGAACTGAAATGGAGCCGTTCGAGGAGCCGTTTTTCATATCTAAACAACTTTATTAATAGCCAAAAACACATTATATAAAAATATGAGATTAACATTCATAATGGTTATTTATTGTAACAGTGCAGAACGAGAGATTCTGTAATCGTTATTGAAAATAATAAAAAAAAGTTCTCCAACTGTGCTCTGATCCACCGACCTTTGGACTCGGAGCCAGCGCTTTCAACAACTGAGCCATCACCATTACTTGGGATCAGTAGATATTTTATAAATATGATTTCGACAATTGATCTTTTCTAAAATTATTCCTGTTATTTGAAGTAAAAGGAATTCATCAATTCAATATGTTGAGTATATATGTTATTTGAAAAATTACCTTCATGAATAGATATTCATCAACAGGAGCAATCTGCAGAAAATACCTAATTGATCTGTTCAGCATTAAGTATTTTCGATTTTTTACTTCGGAATCCATCCGATTTCCTTTCGAGGAAATGGGATATGTTGCTATATTAATATTGTGATTGATATTTAGTGTTGATCGTAACATGGAATACATCGACCAGAATGATGATGATTTCATCGAATTTGATAATTCTTGAGAATAATATACTAAAAAGTTATGTTCCGAAAACGACACGGTATTATTTTTCTAATTCTCTAGTCCAGGTATTTTTAATGTGCTATTTCGTATTATTCACGAGACTTAGCGGGTAGCAACTCATTTTCAGCCATTCTAGCTTTTTCCAACATTTCACGTGGTGTAGAAATAATCTGCTCATCGTCATAGCTAGTGACATTACTGAAATAGTTAATTGTTATTGACACATCGCCTAAGCAAAAAAGCAAAGTCATCTATCAACATACCTATGGAAACCGTGCGATCGCTCTCTTTACGCACACGTGTGTAAGGAGAAGCTTACTGCCATTGTTTTGTGTACAATATTCATCACTTACAGTAGTAGTCTCAGGAAAAATCATATTACTACTACTTTTATATTATTATATGATATACAGGGTGTTCCTTGAAGACATGCTTATATCCGAGGGAGTGATTGTTTGACTCATTTCAAGAAAAAAACTCCATATGAACGAACGTATGTCATAAAAAGTCTGAAATCTTGAGATACAGGGTGATAAAGTTCTGAATAATATTCAGTTTTTTTTTATAACTGAGACAATATTGTATACATCTTCATGAAATTTGTTACCAATGGTACCGTTACGGAGATATAAATGTTTATATTTTACTTAAAAGTGAGCAACGACGAAAAAATTTCAAATTTTATACATTGTCATGAAAGGATATTTAATTATGTACAAAAAAGATCCACCTGTTGGAACTCGATAGAAAGCTTCGTTTGCGAGAAAAGACGGAAAAACGAGACCAGACTTCAAATTTTGATGTCTGAGTTCTCCATTCAGAACATCCATTACTGAATAACCACAGTATGTAATATTTTGAAATTTTTATACCGATTCAGTCACATAGCAGACTGAATTTTGCCATCACGGAGAGCTATACAGGGTGGACAAAAAAATAATCTATGCATATTTTCAACATTGACACCCTGTATCTCAAAAGTTAGGACGTTCACGACATTCGTTCATGTGAAGTTTTATTCTTGGAATGAGTCGATGAATCGGCCCCTTGAATATTAGGAACACCCTGTATATGTAACCATATATATCCGGGTGTTGTCTGGGTATGGAACTATACAAGGTGTTTTTGAAATAAGTGAACATATCTAAGGAATATTACCATGATATCAGATTTTTTTCTGATTCTTCCAATTAACGAGAAATCACATTCCAAAAATTGAAGAAAATACGAGCAAACAATCAAGTACGTCACTTTAAAACAATTTAAATGATTGAACTCCGCGTGATTGTGCCTACTGCGTGGAAATTTGAACAGAAATGACGTCAGATTTGCTACAGTTTAGAACTTTGGGTGGGAAAAAGGTATAACCTCAAATTGTATTTTGTTCCTTGATTTATTGAAATATTGGCACTTATTCCAATGCCACCTTGTATAACTATCTTTCATGTGATCGTCTAGTATATAATATTTAAGAATTTAGATGTATCGATACCCCATCTCAAACAATTTTTCTTCGTTGTGTGTTTTCTTTATAAGTTCTTGGATACAGATTCCTGTGAAGGTAGGAAAGAAATGAAAATCGAGAATAGTTCAAGAGTATTTATTGACCACGCAGCTTTTCACAATGCAGATGTACGATGTGGAGCTCAGTGAACGAAATTGCCTAACAAAATTATTATTGATTGGCATGAAAGAGTGAATAAAACTTTTAGATTCGAAGAATATAATATATGAAAATCTGGGTGCTACCCATCTGAACGGTCAGAATCGATTTATTATCAATTTGGCAGATGATAGTGAAGAGGGCTCTAATTTTAGCGATGAAGAAGATGAAGTGAACCATTGAATATTTTTCATTTTAAATTATATTTGGATTCAAGTTTCGTTTAGCTGAAATCAGTTATGGAAAATTTGTTGCTATGGCAACCGTTGTCATGGTAACAGGTTAACAGAAAACAAAATCCCGTGGTGAGGAAATGCATGGTTGCCAAGTTGTATCGGGTTTAGTATAGCTGAAATCAGTTATGGAAAAACTGTTGCCATGGCAACGATCGTCATCGTAAGGAGTGAACAAAAACCCGATTCCCGTGGTGAGGAAATGCGTGGTTGCCAAGTTGTATCGGGTTTTGTTTGACTGAAATCAGTTATGGAAAAACTATTGCCATAGCAACGATCGTCATGGTAACGAGTAAACAAAAATCCGAATCCAGTGGTGAGGAAATGCGTGGTTGCCAAGTTGTATCGGGTTTAGTATAGTTGGAATCAGCGCAATCTTCGAACCTCAAATTTTTTTCTGCTAGTATTCAAACAATAACTTGATTCGAATGAATACCCTTCTTATCAATTTCTTGAAGACTGTTCGTCGTTGATTAATTCCCGAATTACTACTTCTCTGACGATCTATATGGAAATAACGTCAGGAAAAAATTGGCTTTGTTATTGAACAGAGCTAGACAAAATAGCGAGCGACAAAATAGTGCGGAACAAATAGCGCATAAGGAAGGAAACTACTTTTTTTAAACAATCTGACCTAACTCGGCTTAAATGAACCTTCTTAGAAAAAATATATTTTTCAACATCGATCAGATTTGGTAGCAAGGCATCGTTCGTGTGTGTTTGAAGACTGCATAAAAAAGGACACTACTTTTTCCAAACAATCTAACCTAACTCGACTTAAATCAACCTTCTTCTTGAAAAACATATATTTACCAACATCGTTCAGATTTGGTAGCAAGGCATCGTTCGTGTATGTTTGAAGACTGTTGCTGAATATTCCAAAATGTCTCTGTTTCTTTTTGATTTTGTCGAATAGCTCGGCACGCGAAGAATGGTTACATTGAAGAGTGTTTTTGAAATAAATGAATGAAGCAATAATTCTCCGATACAAATTGGCAACCACGCATTTCCTCACCTTGGAAATCGGATATTTTCTTTACTCTTTACCATGACGATCGCTGCCATGGCAATAATTTTCCCATAACTGATTTCAGTCAAACTAAACTCAATACAACTTGGCAACCACGCATTTCCTCACCACGGGAATTGGGTTTTTGTTTACTCCTCACCATGACGATCGTTGCCATGGCAACAGTTTTTCCCTAACTGATTTCAGCTATACTAAACCCGATACAACTTGGCAACCACGCATTTCCTCACCACGGGAATCGGGTTTTTGTTTACTCGTTATCATGACGGTCGTTGCCATAGCAACAGTTTTTTCATAACTGATTTCAGCTAAACGAAACTTGAGCCTATATTTGTACGAGTTCAAATTGGCAGCGTAATTTTCTAGATTTTCTCTCCTTGAATATATCACAATGTGCCTTCAGGAAAATAGATCACGAATATTTGAAATCCCTCAGTGCTTGTTGTATAACGAGATAATATGCATGTCTTATAAAAACCAGGCTAGAAAACAAACTATACCTATACCTATATTTACCATTTTAGATAATATAATTCAGGTGACTTTGAGTTCATCATTATTTTCTGTTGTTTTTGAGTCCGACACTAGTTCCAAACACTTGCGGATAATTTCGGAACGTTGGCGAAAAACATCGATTGCGCCTTCTTTTTTATGTTTCATATCAGCAAGATGGAGCCAATTTATTTTTGCTCCCAAGGGAGGTAATATTTTGTTTTCTCTCAATCCAAATCATTATAATACAAAGATATAGTATTTCATGGTCAATTCACGGCATTTGAACGAAAGTCAATTTGACACTTCTGTCATAATGAATTAATTGATTTGTGTGACTCCCACGGGAGTTGATATTTTTCACCTCATGTGCGAGTAAATTAACAAATTTGGTTCCTTAAATGAGGGAGCAAACAACCACTTTCGATTCAGTGAGTAGATAAGGAATATCTACCTTCAGGTTATATGTAATTGTGTTGGAAGCCAGAATATTGGATGTATTGTACGGGAGCTATCTGCAAGCTTTCGTATGATTTGTCATGTCCACGGAACGGAAGTAAATAATAATAAAATAGTTTGGTTATAATTTTATAAATATTGTAAAGTGATTGATTAATCAGTTTTCCATTATCTCTGAATCATTCTGAAGATATGATAGATATTGGATATGTGATAAGATTAAGATTATCTCATTTTGTGCCCACTGAAACACTTTAATACCTACTTACATTTTTTATTGATTTGAAATTGACCTGCAGATTTTATAAAATAATTGTTCCAAATTAAGATGGTTCACCAAAATATAATAGTAGGACCCGAGTTGGAAAGACTTATTGATACTTCTTTAGGAGAACTATTGTTGTTGTTACTGAAAACCTATGAAGATAATGTTCTTCAGGTGAGTTCTATCAATAGTCCATAATATTTTTGACCTTGACAGTGATGAACTATTCTACTGTCACCCTCGACTGTCACCCTAGCTTTGTAGCCCGTTTCAATGTAATTTGAATCAAGGATCAAGGTAGTAACATGGGTGTCCAAATTACTTGATTACTTCCTTTATTATAGGTATATATAGCTTTCAGAAACAAAGTTTTCTTGTTCCCTTTCATAATAATGGTTAATGAAAGAGGAAACGGTGAAAATTATGTGCTGAGGTCTTATGAATTATCTCAGCTACTAGGTACATATGGTGAATGAGTTAGTGTGATCCAAGTTTTGTGGGAGATCTTCTTAGGTACCTTCCACTAGTAAACTTTTCACTAAACATGAAGTAAAAGAAAGAGTAAACTTATTGTCAGATTTGAAAATCTGTTGAGATTTGAAGTTGAAATGTAATTACTTGATTGAATCAATTATCTTAGGTAGGTAAATACCATTGGGAAATTTTTGTTGGATTTTTCTGGAGGATATTTTTGTCCATAAGGAAGCCTTCTTGAATCAAAATTGAGCAAGTGCTTTTTGAACATTTTAATTTGCTGAATGCAGATTTGTCAAAATTATAAATATTTTTTTCCACCTCAGGAAGTGAATTCAGTAAAAAAATCCATGAATGAAAACTATAAATTGATTTCTCTTTGAAATAGTCATTCACAATCAATTTGTCTTTGTTTTTGTCCTCACATCACAGAACCTTGTAGCCTATCAAAGTTCAAGTGGCTTTATAGAATCACTACCAATGACCTTGTTTTCAAAGGTCAAAATTTCTATCATAAATAAATTCCATCATTGAATTGCTTGTACTTTCTGAATATATAGGGTGGACCTTAAATAATTGTACATAGAAGTGTGGTAGATGTTTGACATTAAAACATTACAATTTGAGTCATAACTTGACTTGATAAAATATTGCTAAAAAGGGAGATATGGTGAATTTTGGTAAATTTCTATACTTTTTTTGGCCCAAGTTTCGTTTAGCTGAAATCAGTTATGAAAAAACTGTTGCTATGGCAACGATCGTCATGATAAGGAGTAAACAAAAACCCGATTCCCGTGGTGAGGAAATGCGTGCTTGCCAAATTGTATAGGGTTTAGTATAGCTGAAATCGGTTAGGGAAAAACTGTTGCCATGGCAACGATCATGGTAAGGAGTAAACAAACACCATAAATATACGTATTAATAAACTATACGGATCATAACGGGTGCCAGGATCATCAAAGACATGCGTTTCGGTGGACGTTTACTAGCCTTTCAATCAAAGCAGTATGTGTATGATCGTTTCAAAACTTTTCCTTATGGATAGTCATTTGTCTTCAAAAATCGGCTTCATGTTTCGCTATGGAAACAGATAGAGATTATCCATATTGATTATTGATACGTATATGACAAAAACCCGATTCCCGTGGTGAGGAAATGCGTGGTCAAGTTGTATTGGGTTTAGTTTGGCTGAAATCAGTTATGGAAAAACTATTGCCATGGCAACGATCGTCATGGTAACGAGTAAAGAAAAATCCGATTTCCATGGTGAGGAAATGCGTGGTTGCCAATTTTTTTCGGAGAATTATTGCTTCATTCATTAATTTCAAAAACACTTTTCAATGTAACCATTATTCGCGTGCCGAGCTATTCGACAAAATCAAAAAGAAACAGTTGGAATATTCAGCAACAGTCT